CTGTTGACTGACCTTTGTATTTGTTCAAATAATTGTTATGGGCAGGTTACAATATAAAAAAATTGTCATAATTATGTCTTGTGATTATTTGACAGGAGTTTTACTTTTAAAATATGTGTATTTAATTTAGTTATGAAGCAAATACAATACAAATTAAACCAAGATTTATAATAATTATCATGTTGATCTGTGTGGTAATGTGTGACTGGGCCTCGTGTCTCATATGTTCAACAGATTGGGCCCCGAGGTCAAAAAGGTTAAGAACCTCAGGTTTAGAGGATCCTTGTGCTCAACAAGAACCTCCTGTAGTCTCAAAGTGGTCCGGATCAGTTCTGTGGGCTTTATGGGGTTCCTTTAAAGGACTTCTTTGGATTTTTATTTTGTTTCAGTTCTGAACATTTTCAGAGAAAATATTTCAAAGACTAACCACTGAGAGAGACAAACAGGACAGAGACATCTGAAACTCAGAGATCAAGCAGGTTTTTAGTCGACACAGTTCAGGATGAAATTAAATTAAAAATGTTTTTCACCGTTTTTATGAGACAACCACCCTGCAGACACAGAATAAACACATAAAATCTAGTTTTATTTTTAGTTCCAAAGTGTCTCAGATATAATAAAGACTTTTATTTGCAGCCGTCTAATAAAACTGGATGAAAAGAAGTCTTTTCAAAATAAAACTCACAGTGGAATCCTGTTTGTGACCAAGAACCAGAAGTGAACAAGGAGAGGACTGTTAGAAAATCAGATCTGCCTCCAGTTTTGGTCACGTCTGTTTATTTCTGATGTTCTCCAGTTTTCTTCTTCTTATCAGTGGCTAACGTCCACTGGTGTCTCACTCCCTGCTTTCTGTTCATCTCTTTTATCTAATTTGTCACGGAGGAAAATATGTTGATTACAAAATGACAGCCTCTTGTTTCATTAGTTTATCGTCTCTCTTATTCACTTGTAAATAAATGTTCATATTTATCCTCTTCAGGTTCGCTGCAGCAGAAACAGGATCTGAACGTTTCATTAAACTTTTATTTTCCAAGGTGCAAAAGCGTGACCAGATGTCAGACATCTGATCGTCCCGGAGCCAAACTACAGTTCAGCTCAGTGTTTCAGCTATAATCAGTTTGAAGTTTATTTTCCACGTCTGCTGCTACATTAGAGCGGTTTAACCCAGGGGTGTCACTAGGTTTTAAAGACAAGGGGGGCTTAGCCCCCAGGAGACGCACAGAATTTTTGCATATTATATTTTTGTATTGTGTGTGTGTGTGTGTGTGTGTGTGTGTGTGTGTGTGTGTGTGTGTGTGTG